CCACTCAGTCACGGTCAGAGAAACAGGACCACACTGGAAAACAGGCCGATATCCAGCATCTATAAACAATGATGGAAGCAGCACAGCTGATGTTTCTTTCCAGGATGGCGTCACAGCCTATATAAGCTACTGGGATCAGAATTTCCCAAGTGATAAAGTTGAGGCAAAGTCGGCGGTTATTTTGCCTTTTTGGACCTGAACCAGCTCTAGGATGGTTCTGGTGGTTCCTGTTTTATTTCAGTTGCTGGTTTTACCTCCTGTTTTGAACTGTTGTGCTTTCTTAAAGGTGTTGATGAACAGAACCAAGATTCTTTCCACCATCTTCTAATGCTGTTTGTAGGTCAATCTGACGTTGCTGCCAGCAGATTGCTCCTCAGGCTGAACCTTCTATAAAACCACCTGATTCCGGATCAAGTTTCTCTGCGACCTTAAAGCTACAAACCAAACCCAGACTTTTACATTTTCTACATAAAAAAAAGAAAAACATTTTTGATTATTGTAAAGATTTATGGTAAACATTGAGGAATTTCTAGTTTATTTTTTATTTTATCCTCTAAATTCAGTGAACCAAACCACCTGATGAAACAAGCCCGTAGTATGATGCTGCTTCCACCATGCTGAACAATCAGGACAACGTTCTCATTTCCTCTCAAAATTTTTTTGTATTCATCAATTTGGGTGTTTTTCTGGAAAATCCGTCGTCGTTTCTGAAAATCCAAATAAAGCCGAGTTAAAAACAGAGCTAAGGACCAGAGAAAAACCGAACGAACGATCAGATTTAGTCAAGGCATCATTATCAGACCTTAGGGCTGCTTTCTGGCTGTGAAGTAAGGTGTTGGCTGCATCATACTATGTCCGATGCTGCTGGTTGATGTTACTGAACTCACTGATGGTTGGGTTTGGGTCCATCTGGACAATGATCTTCAAACTGGTTCTGCAGTTGATAAAACAGGCTAACATTTAGCTTAACCTTAAGCACCTGAGATTACATACATAACTTAAAGCAAGTACAGCTCCCAAACTATACATTGGAAATAGAATTATTTGTATTTGTATAACAGAAGGGCATAGAGGAATATTTTTCAGGTGGAACCACCATTTTAAATGTCACCAAGTCTGATTTATGGGAGATTAAACAAAGAAAATTGGAAATTAGATAAATTAGCCTCGCCAAATTTTTTTCCAGAATAAACACTATAAAACACCATAAAACCCCATTTGAAACTCTTGATGAACCCTCAGACGTTACAGATTCACATCTTGACTATAATGCAAGTACATTTGGTCTGATTAAGTTGAAGAACGTTTGTTCCACAAAAGTTGTAGTGGGCAGTGTGCTAGGAGGAAATGTGATTTCGGCACAGTGCCAAAAGTGGCCAAATTATGCAAAAATGTGCTCATAAAAGAGGAATCTGGACAGACAAATATGCTGATTTACATTATTGGAGACCTTCTGCATAAAACAAAGCCTTTCCTCCTAAGATTTTGCCATTCAGTCATTGAAATTTACTATTGAACACAATAATATCACCAAACTAAATAGAAAATATGAATAACAGAGCAAGCCTATGTAACGCACGCCGGTTACATCACCTGAAAAGGTCGCCCAATGACCTCCGACCCCTCCTTGGAAACGTCTGAGCCTCTAGTTTCCAATGATGGTGGCCATTAGGGGGCGGGGCTAAAATTAATACCTGCTGTTGCATTAATCCGCAGAGTCACACATTTCAGGTGGAATTTCAAATCTATTTTTATTTGTTTACACAGCTATAAAACAAAAAGTATTTGTGAAAAAATAATTTTGAGCCAATTTTAAAGCCTCATTTGAAAGGTGTGTGGATGAAACACCAGGTGACTGTGTTTAGGCCGTTTCTTTTAATAGATAAACATCAGCAGGCTTCAGCTGGGTAGAAACTATTGCTTCTGCTCAGAGGACGTGAAATGAAGCCAGTTGAAGCTGAAGGCTTGGATCTGAGGGTCGCTGACTGAGGGTAGGTGGGTCTGGAAAGGAGGTCCAGATGACACCCTGCTGATGGTGAGCAGAACGGGTGTTTTTAGGTGTGAACATATCTGATGAGGACATGCTCATATTGTTTGCAGTCACAGAGGTGTGGTCTGCTGAGACCAGCTCCTCCTCCTGGAGCAGAACCCGCCTTCCTGCTGTCAGAACACAGGAACCAGGAGCGTCCAACTCAGACTGGAGGCAACAAGTGAGCAGAGACCAAGGGAACCGCTTCTTCTGTCGGTGAGTGGTTCTGATTTCCTCCCTGGTTTCCTTCTGCAGAGGATCTGTAGCAGCAGAGAGGCTTTTAGAGGTTCTGTTCGGTTCCTCTGGGTCTGCTGGTTCTGAATAACCATTGAGGATTTCTCACTTTGAACGCAGCTTGTTCTCCTCCAGCAGCTGTTCTGTGGATCAAACCTGCAGCTGGGAGCAGATGCTTCCTGCTGATTCTTTACAGACTGGTTTAATGACTTTAATCTGCAGAAACCTACTGGTCTGACTGGTTACCAGCCCCAGAATTTATAACGCAAGTTATTTCATGACCTTTC